CTTGGACTCCACATATTACACTGCTAAATGGGGTATTTGCATTCACATAGATCTGAGGTTTTTTTGTCCTCGATGGGAATCCGGGTACATATTGTGAAATAACAGATCCGAGCACTGCCCGTTGTGGGCAATCCTGCCGAAGTTTTGGTAAAGCATCCGCTGTGAAGACCGGCGCGTTTTTTCTTTCGTGTTCAGATATATTAGAGGCGTCGTGTAAGGTATGCTGACTCAACAGCCGATGTTCAGGATCCGCTACAGGGCAGCTAGAATCGGTCGGTATCGTTTCCGCCGGGCTGGTGCTATTAGTGCTCAAATTGGCAAACGTCGAGATAAAATTGGCGGGAATCGGTGTCGGTGTAGAGTAATTTAAATTTGAGTGAGATGAGTGTTCCAAAGGATCACGGTCGCCATCAGGATCGAAACCATCGGTATCTGCTGGATTGTCTTTATCTTCAGTCTCGTGAGGCAAGTTGTGTGCAACGGAAAGTCGAGTGTTGCCGTGTCGATGTGCAAAGATGGGCTCCAGCTCGAAGTAGTACTTACACTCCTTCAAGACAGGACCTAAGTTGTTGAAAACTGATGAGCGCATGAAATTAAACCAAGATAACTGAGACTGCACTTACCAAAAGCTACATTCTTTTCACGGACCCACTCGGGGCTATCATCAGCCCATTTTAACGCTTCTTTTTGTGCCAAAGCAGCATCACAGACACCACCTCCAGTTCCTCTACGAACACCGTCAGCTTTTTGCCATTGGGCCTCCAAATTCTTCATCTGAAGGCAAAAAACGTGATGGATTATCAATTGAACTGAAGTTATGCAAGAATTAATAAAATATAACAAAGAAACATACCTTCTTTTGGATTGCATATGCATTTCGCCAGGTAATGCCATTTTCAATCAAGTACCTTTCAATTTCTTCGGCAACGTCTTTCTTATATGAACCTTTTTCCTTGAACAATTAAAGTTATCTTCGTTGGTGATCCAGTTGAGTAGGAAGTAGATTGACTCTTTCCTTCACCGGGAACGTCACAATCCCATTGGAGTGTTGTCTTTTTGGTGACGTGCGAATTATCTTTCTTCTTTTTTGTTGAATTTTTGTTGTTTGAAGTCGGTTTGTTTGAAGTTTTTTTGGGCGTTTGTTTTTGGTTTTTCTTTGGTTTTGTTGCTGCGGCGGGGGCTTTTTGTTTTTTTTCAGGCATCTTCTTAGTTGATTTTGATTCAGCTGGGAGAGAAGGTGAAACGGCTGTTTGAGCTAGTTGGATGGCGCCGGCAAGGACTTGGCTAAGTGTTGAAGGATCAATTTGGAGTTGAGCCGGAGTCAGTTGATTCTGAGTCAAAGGGTTTTCAAGACCCGGTTCGGAGGACGAGTTGGTACTTAATATGCATAGAATCAGATGGGAGTTCTGGTTCTGATTGCATGGTATGGTCTAATATGGTTGAGAGTGGTGATTGAGGGGTGTGGAGATCAGTCCATGAAGTGGTGATGCCAGCTTATGTAACTAAGCCCCTTTTTGCGCGTTCGCCGTGAGGATCCTGGCTTCCCCCTACGGATGCGTCTGATCTGACCCAATTTTTGGTTTTTGGGCTCTACACCACACCAGTCAAACCTTCAAGCTCCCAAGCACCTCAAAAGATGTGCATGGGTTGAGGCTATTGGATGAACCCGGTTGTAGCTCTGCCGCTTGGCTCACTGCTGCGTAAAACACAAGGGTGCAAAAATTTTCTTGACCTCCGAGGCCAAAATCCAACCATTGGATTTTCGACCGTTACAGCATATCTCAGAAACCGGTAGTGCTAAAGGGTTTAAAGTCAGTCCATTCGAAATCCCTTGTCCAGACGCATCGTTTGCACTACTGTAGCTATTGTCAAAGCGCCGTGTGGTTTGTCCATGGCCCATAAACCTTGAAAAAGAACATCAGATTTTAGATCAGACACATCTATAGGAGAAAGCCAGGGCCCTTCGCCGCGCTCTTGCAGAGGGGCTTACAACGGACTCGTGCTAACTTAACTAAGACCCTCAGTCAGACCCTTTTTCCTCACAAGCTCGGGGGTCTGGAGAGGGACTTATGAATGGGTTAAGGGAATTTTGCACTCATCGATTTACACTCGTTATTGAGTGTAAATCGGCTTGTGTGTAAAATTCCATCTGAGGGGGGGTCAAGTGCAATTTTACACTCAATCCGGCGGATTTTCTGAAGTGTAAAAAAAGATGTGTAAAACATTGAGTGTAAAAGTGTAAAACACCCCGACGAAGATACATTTTTGCCCTCGAGTTTTTACATACAGTCAATCTAGATTAGCTTGTCCGAGCAGATTTTATTTATTTATTTTTTACAGCAATACAGGTAAATCTATAAGCATAAACATATGATTCATATGCTTATGTTTGTCTGGTCATGAGTCAGACCAACCACTGCTGACCACAGTCAACAGCGCTTCACTATTATGAACCTTCAGCACCGTACTTTCATCCTACACGCATCGATCCCATATTCCATTTCAGCCAAGGACCTCTAGTGTGAGCTTGACCTTGTCTTCTAGGCTTTGAATTCAATCTCTTTACTTCAATTCAGACCTCTAAGCTTCGATTTGGCCCTCTGCGTCTTCGATTCAACCCTCTATGTCTATTTGAGTCTATCGGTTTTGAAATCTTGGCTTTGATGCAAGTGAAGGGCTGTCTTTAGCCCGTGTTCTCACTTTTGAATCCCTTCTTTAGGCTCCAGATCCAACTCGTAAATTCAACTGTTAAGCTCTGGCCATTTGTTGACTAACTCAATCGTTCCCTTCTTATTTATCTTCCTTAGCTTTGAATCTGTCACATCAGATCAAATCCATTGTCTCAATGTTCATTCTGCTTGTATCTCATCTAGCCTCAGCTTGCCATTGGGATACAGTCTCTTCATGTGGTGCTTCAATCGCTTTCCAAATCCATTGATACCATGCCAGAAAGTGAGGAGATCGTGTGCAATGATCATGGTCACAGATAGGCAGAGTGCCAACAGTTCTTAGATCAAGTCATAGATCGTGTACTCCACACTGGAGTATGCAAGGAAGCCAGCAACCACCAAGTATGATCTCAGGTCCTACTGAAAAGGAAATAAGACAGTTCTTCATGACCGCAAAGTAAGAAAGTACAGTGCAAGTCTTTAAGCATTTGCAAGAGGTTTGTGCATTCTGAGACTGTGGGCCTAATGAACTCATAGGCGACAGAAAAAGCCCAGAAATTATATCAACTAGACCTGAGGATGATGACGGTAAACAGTTCATGTTATTGAATTGATTGAGCATTGGGATGACAGGTACAAAATTCCTATATACAGATAAGACACTGATTTTTTCTCGAGAAGCACAGCGAAATCGGATAGCAAGAAAAAACAATATAATGAGATCCACAGACTGGGTAAGTAGCCTCTTACTGATGATTTGCCATAAAACAAGATCGATCCTCGCCGCTGGATTGCATCTATTAGATTGCTGGAATCCCAAATTACTCTAGAGTGTCTAAACCAAAGACCAG